CTCAATAAACCAGAGGCCATTTCATCTAAACTTGCGTGCATCGACTGCTTTGCCCTGTTCATTGTAAGAAAGAACGGAATTAAAGTGCTGCCAACGATTTGCACGTTTTTTGCGCGTGGGTCATTATTCGAGTGTGCTGTACCCCAAAAATTACCGGCACCATGACCGGCATCACTTTGGTGTTGCGGTAATATTTTACGCGGTGAAAAGTTTTTATGTTGTTTTGCTTGTATATTTCATTGTCTTTTTATATTTTTATATGTTTTAGTACCTACTTACCAATGAATGAAAAATATAATCTAGCGTCTGGAAGGATTCTTGGGGCACAAAGTAGGGAAATTGTTTATAATGTGTATCAACATTTTGTCGAAGACCGGGACATGAAGTTGAAGGCGGGAGGCGACGACGCCGTCCGGGAGAGTCCATTATTAAGAACAGCAGCTGTAACGGGCGTTGGGAAGACTACAGTCTACCGCATACAACGTGAAGCCCACCATGGTGCCAGACTGAAGTCGCCAAGCCGATCCCGACCAGCTGCAGCAAGACCAAGGGTGGATCTAGATCCGTTCGATGTTTGCGCGATGAGAAGAATGGTACACCAAATGTACATCGACGGAAAACATGTTATTCTGGACACCATCACGGATGCTCTTCACGAACAGCTCGGCGTCACCATGTCTAGATCCACCTCAAGAAAACACCTACTCGCGAACGGATTTAAGTACCGAAGGATCGACAAGCGCAAGATCCTAATCGAGAAACCTCATATTGCAGAAACGAGATGCCAGTTCTTGCGGGAGATGAGGAGGCTGCGTAGAGAAGTTCTCGATAGCAAAATCAGTTATACCGACGAGACATGGTATAATCAGTACGATATGGAGGACTTGGCGTGGCTGGACGGTAGTCAAATCAACGGACGGAAGAACGCCATTGGAAAAGGAAACCGTTTTATCATAGTCCATGCCGGCCCTTCAGAATGGTTTATACCGGGCGCACTTCTCCACCCCAGGACCGATGGCAAGAACGCCGACTACCATACGTCAATGAACGCCGACTGCTACGAGAAGTGGTCCACCGAGTGCCTGCTTCTGAACGTACCAGAGCACTCTGTGATCATCATAGATAATGCCTCATATTATCCCCGTTTGTGCCAAAAAGTGCCAACTTCTAGCTGGCGTAAAGCGGAAATCCAGGAGTGGTTGCAGCAGGCAGGTGTGACTATCGACGAAGACATGCCGAAGGTGGAGCTGCTGGAGCTTGTCAAGTCCCAGAAACGGAAGAAGGAATAGTTTCTGGACAACCTTGCCAGAGATCATGGTCATCGGATCGTTCGCCTGCCGCCGTATCACTGCGACTTGAACCCGATAGAGTTAGTGTGAGCACAGATGAAGCGCGTGATAAGACGGGGGAACTTGACGGGACGGATGGAGGAGGTGGAACGGCTGGTGGAGGCAGGTGTCGCAGCTGTCTCTCCAGAGGACTGGAGTAAGTGCTGTGAGCACGTCAAAAGGCTGGAGCGGCAGTACTGGACAAATGACGGGCTGCTAAAAGATCTCCCACCGGTTGTCGTAACGACCGATGATAGCAGCGACTCCGGCACCGACTCCGGCAGCGACAACGTTGAATGAGAACAGTATGACACAACGATCATGAGAAGTGTTTCCGTTTCGTTCTTTTCAACTGACTTCGTAGCGTTTACGTGGATGTGGCATGTAGTTACGTGTGGGAGCTATCTGAATGTTCTGCTATATGAATGGGAGCTGAATGTTCAGCGTTTTGTTGAATACCTTCAATAAAACTGAGCGAATTAATTTTCTGTGTGTGGGATTTTCCCATGTTATTCATGAAACAGCACCAGTTTGGAGCAATTACCGAATGAAAGTATAGCATAACTTGCTTCAAAGGAACCACTGGGCAATGAATTTAGAACGTAAAAATAATTGCCAATAAAAATAACCCCAGTGCTAAATATGTATATATATATATATATATATATATATATATATATATATATATATTTCGACCAACCATATGAACATGAAGTTGCTGCAAGCAATGCAAACATCCAAAACTGCTGTTGCTTCGAGAGATCCGCAGTGCTGTCCTGCAGGCCTTCCGACCAATTTTGTTCAGTTTGAAAAAATTGCAGCGTAATGCTCGTGACGAATTGATTGGCCAGCTTTCATTCCGTTCTTTCTCACGATAAACAGAGCATAGCTTTGAATTCACAGAATAAAAAACTGGCTGTTTCAAGTCGTGGGAAGCCTCCAAAATTCATTACAATATGCATAGCCTCAAAAATAATTGGACTGTGTTACAAACGCCACAGGCTCGTAATTCGCGTTGAAGAATCAAGAGCCAGCCTCTTAAATGGTGTTGGCCCGCTTTAAGTGAATACATCACGCAGAAACACTGAATAGAAACCACATGGTAGTCTGAAATGGTTCACATCTCTCTTTTATCACATCCACGTTCTACCCCACAAACATTGCCTCGCTGCTCGCGTGATACCGCGTGAAAGCAAGGATAGCACTACTACTCTAGCCAGGAACATTTCCCTCCAGAAGCGTCAATGACATGCAGCAATGTCACAAAAACGTGGCATATTGTTACATGCTGCAGAAAGCTACTACGACAACCAACAAAAATTGCAAAGAATATTTTCTAGTAAACCTTTCTTTCGTTCACAAAGCCTGCAAACTGCTTCTTTCGATCTTTTTCAAATGTTTCACAGGCGTCATATGTAGAGATGACTTTTTGCCATACACAACTGCATACAGATACAAATATTAGAAGAAATGACCAAATCAGACAGAAAAGGCCTTAATGAAAACCGCGTTGATGGTAAATGGAAACAAACGCGGCAAGGGAGGACCGTATTAGATGTGAGTGCCCAGTGGTTGTGATCGAAAATTGCACTTTCTTCGGACGTAGATAGACAATCTCTATGCAACCACTTCTTCAGCTTCAGCAACTGTTGCGCATTTAATGCACCAGTAAATGCGTGCTATATTGACAAGTGCATGAAGCTAGGGCAGTGAAAGGGTCACAGTTTCCCATGCATTTCATTAAGTATGGATATTGATCGTATTTTGAAAGGTATGATTTGTGTGCAAACCGAGACAGGTTGAGCGATCACAAAACCTGTAAAAAACTGTAGACTGAGAGACTGAGTTGACAATACCCTCAAAATAACAGCCACGTTCAGTGTGTAACGGCATTTATATTGAGGTCTCTTCTAACTGCCGCTCAATGAAATGAGGCCATAGTTTTGAAAATTTTGGTGGTTATTCTCAAGTTTTTCAGTGGGATGTTTGCATAAAGCTGTTCAGTCTGTGCTGGTCCTGGTTTACTGATGTGTCATGTCTGCCGTGAGCTCTCTGTCATTGCTGCACTCGCTGTTTAAAAACAAAATATGCTTGTTTTACGATGTTTTGTGTTTGACAGCACACTCCGGAATTTGAATGATTTCAAACTTGAGGAATAGCAAATGTGCAATATTTTGCCTGCTGATATTTTTAAACCGCAAAAGCCCAAGTCTAGTCCATAACCCAGCCAAAAGCCCGTGGGTTCTTGCGGGTCAGAAATTGGCGGGTTGGCGGGTTAAAAAGCTGTGTTTTTGAAAGTGACCTAATGCGCTCCTTATATGTGTGGCTGCGAACTATATGTGTGGTCTCGTTGCTGCCGCTGAATGTGTAGTGTTCCGTACACGCAATTTACTGCATGAAGTCCCTGAAGGCTTTGAACGGGACATACGTTTCTTCTTTATTTTGTTCGCAGTGCCGGCTATTAAGAATTGTTCCACAGAGTGGACTTCTCCCTCAAGCGTTGAGCGGGCTCTCTAAGGGCGCGTTCGGCCTACGGAAAATGTCTGAAAATTTTCCTGAATGTTGGAAAAATTTCCAAAATGGCATTCGACACTGTCAACACGAAAAATTGTCTCAGATGATTTTCCGTGCCCAGGGAGAGTCCCGGAAAATTTTCAGAACATCGTCAAGACGGAGAATCTTTTGTTCGCTATGCATAGCTATGATTGTTGACTGTGCGCCGCGCATGTCAGACGAATCTGGAGGATGATTTCCGGACCTGCCAAGCGTGGATGGAGAACCTCTGTCGATGATTATCCTAGTAATCATTCGATGAATCGTTTACCTCGGCTAAACGCGTACTTTCGGTAGTCGACAGCGCTGGGCACATTACGTTGAATTACATTACGCACATTACATTACGTTGTGTGGGGTGCACCTTCCGTGATATATGCGCACGGTGACTCGCGCAACCCACAAACGTTGTGCCGCGTGCCACGGCCGTTCATTGGATGCCATCACGCAGGTGACATTCGGTAGACTGAGACCTTGGAAGATTGGAGCGTCATCGGTGTGCGTGTACCGTCGGAGAACAGATCGGGGTAAGTTTAGCGGGCGCGGACTTCTCTCCCCCCCCCCTCCATATTAAGCTGCGTGAATAACCAGATGTGATAAAAATCAGTCCAACTAGATGCAATGTTTGAAGCTCATGAAATCTAAGCACATGCCTCTCTACGCACAGTACACTCTGGAACTCTAGAGGCTCGTGGAACAAGTGCATACAGTTCATACGCCTGCAAGAGCGTGACGCGTCCACCCTAGTTTTGATTTTGACAATGTCCGATAACCGTATTACCCTACCCCTAGTTATTTTGGCGCTGGGGCACCTCTAGGAAGCACCCAGGGGCTTTCAAACTACATTTCGGTGTGATTCTTTTTTACCAAGGGCGCACAATCCCTAAAACTAAAAAAAATGTGAGACAACACAGTATAATCAATAATCAAATAATATAATCAAACCAAATCAAATAATAATAACAAATAATCAAAATCAAATAATCAATCATAACGCAGTACACGTTTCGCCGTGCACGTTGACATAACAACCTGCAATGTTCGGCGTAACGTAGGTGGTTGGAAGCTGTGCAATACACGTCACTCGACCAAATAGAACCTTCGTCTCTCCCCACTTACCTAGCCTGTCCTCCCTGAAGACGCGCTGCGACCCGACGCCGACCAGCCACAGCCACATGAACACGTGCCCCACAAACCACCACATCGCCGACCGGCGGCACCGCTGCTCTGGTCTGCCGACTGACATGGTGTGCCACGCGGCCCGCTCGCACCCGCGCCACCACTGGCACCCTCCTCTCGCGCTGGCAGGCCGGCCCCGCCACCGCTACCGACGTCAGGAGGCGGGTAGGCCGCACCAGAAGCACCGTCGTCCGCTGGCCAGCCTACGCTCGGCTCGCGCGTTCTCGGTGACATCTGGCGGCGGTGAGCGGCGCGGCCGGGCGTCCCCCACGCCCGCCCGAAATAGGCCGGGCACGGCGGCGCGCCGTCGGTGGCCGCCGACGGCGCGCTGCCGTGGCCGGGCCGTTGACGGTGGAGCTCCGCGACCGCCGGCAGATTGGTCGCCGACGACGGACGGCGGGGACGGCCGCCCCGTCAGCAGTGGAGGACATGGCCGGACAGCCGGGGCCGCCAGTCATCGTGGCTTAGACCGGGGACGGGCGTGGCGCCCAGGCGGGGTCTACGGACGGACGGTGGCTCACGATCTCGAGGGTGGAGTCACCGTGTTACTTGCGGTATGTCGTAAGATTCCACGCAGCTGTGGCGCACTGCTGCCACGCTCGGGCCTCTTGGCAGCTTGCTCGCGCGTAGGCCTCGCACCGCGCCGGTCCAAGACCATAGGACACCAGCAAGAGCTGGCACCTCAGAAGTCGTTGGTGCTGGTCGCGGATCCAGCAAATTTGTGCCTTTACGAGCAATGTGGACTGTATAATATGAAGGACGTAAGAAAGATGAGCACGTTCAGGTACCAGCTGTCGAACTGTAGTCACGTATTGCTGCGGCAACGTTTTGCTGGTGGAAAAGGGCTGAGTCTCCAGTCACCATCCTGCGGCCCTGGCCGGCTTGATAAGCTCCGCGGAGCATGCCCCGTTTGAAAGCTACTTAAACGCCAGAAAAGCGTCGGTCTCACCTATATACGTGATACTTTTGGCCCATGCTGTTTATCGAGCCCGGTGTCATAGTACCTGACAATGTAACACCTTGCGAGACTGGCGCCATGGGGTTCAGGTGGCGTGCTGGAGACGCATCACGATGCCCATGGATAATTGAGTACAGTTGCGGAGAGTTTCTGGGGAATGAGTCGATTTCTTCTAAACCTCGTTCGTTGCACGCCGATGTCAACCATGTCCACTCCATACACGCCTATAGCTAGAACATTCATGCATTTACTACACTGGTGGTCAACCATGCATGATAGCCATTATCTCTCAAATAGGCTTACATCTAGCATGTCTGTATGTAGGCACCGAGACTGCGATGCAGGCAAACCCGAAATGCATGCTCGCTAATTACTTGGACAAACGCGAACGCTGTGCAACCTCATGCGTAAACGTGATATCGCGCCGGGTTGCAAGTAAAAACTGTTAAAAGATCTTAACTATGCGTTCCCAAGCTCGGTATGCAACGACACGCGCATTCTTCTAGGATCATGCAACAGCATGGGACTTAATGCCTCCAGCGAGCGCATGACATCGCTCTGGAATGTCAACAATGTCAGAACGATGGGGCTCAATAAAAGGACCGCCAAGAATTTGGCGCCTGGCCCGGTCATGAAGCAGCTCTTGGCTCAGGGAGAGGTTGGCACAACTTGGACATGCTGAGAGGCTGCTGATCCCTGCTGGCCAACACATCACTAGACTTGTACAGCTTCGATTAGATTCCAGTGAATGGCGTCGGCAATATTCATCACATCCAGTGGCACTACTCAGAACTGACGTAGCAGCTCATGAAATCTTTTCAGTAGGTGACCTCATGTTCAATGGATAAAAGGTGCAAAATAACTGATAGATATGAAATATTTCTGCATGCAGGCCTTCATCGTTTTCAGAAACGTGCAGTTTGTTTACGGGTAAAGTCTAGCAGCCAAAATACGTTTATATCTTTCGGCCACTTTGAGCTTCCAATTGTTGCACATAATGCCTTGTTACGAATGTTCGCTCGAAAGTAGAACTTTGGTAAGTCACCTTTTAGCTTGGCATTGACCGAGGTATCTAGCCGTTCAAGAATTATGGAGGGGGATCCTCGCTCTCTGTCTTTGTAACCACTTAGCCGATTTCTCAGACACAACATGCAATTGACGACGCTGGATTGCACGAGGTGATTTGTTATTACTTCTTTGAATGGAATGAACGGCAAAAATGAGATCACATCAAAGGTCAAATCAAGTAAAATATTCCCCAAAACACAGTAAAATGCACGATTACCAATTGTTTATGTGCAGAAAACCGGTATGTAGAACGGCCTTAAAAGTCAGTTTACACCTTGCAGACCGGCTGCGGAATCCGCATTAGAAATCCAACCGTCAGCTGTTAAGGGCTAGAGGTGGCATATTGAAACCCGCAAGCCATTAAAGGTGGTACCTCTAGTCCGCAAGAGCACAAAAAAACGAAGCGAAAAACCTCCAAGTTCTGTACCTAAGAAGTATGTTGATGACTCAATCTTTAACATATGTGATGTGACTCGGCCTACCAAATTTCGACGACACCCTCGGAGGCTTTCTCTATAAGGATGTTAAATGTTTCACATAGCTGCAGTACTTTCCTCAAATAACACGTCATAAAATTATTTGTCTACGTATCATTCATTACCAGGTGACCAAGAGCCCCCCTCCACCGCGGCGCATAACGGTCGGCGGCGGCGGTCCCCGGCTACCAGTGCAGCATTGTCTGTTCAACAACCTTGTGTCGATGCGCCGGCCAGGCCCAGGGCTAAACCGGATCACCCGCCGGAGCAACATTGGGCGAACGATACTTTGCGGCCGGCGAAAGTCTGGAGCAGTCAGGCGTCTGAAGTCAGGAGTCAGCAGCCGAAGTCGGGAGTCAGGAGCTGTAAGTCTGAAGTTGGAGGTCTACCCGGGAGAGGAGAGATAGGATTCTGGAGTCAGGAGTTCGGAGACGACAGCCGAGAGATGGGGGCCGATAGCAGCGAGTCTGGACCCGGTAGCTGTGAGCGGGAGTCGGCCACCTGTTGCTGGCTGCATCTCCCCCTGTCCGGGTCCGGTGTCGGTCGGCTCGTCTGACCGGTCCGTCCCGAGGGGGGGGGGGGGGGGGGGGGGCACGGCCCTGATGGACCAAGACGAGGCGTGCGGGTCGGCCTCCCTCTCGCGCCGCTATGTGACACCCACCGCGTGGCTCGGCAATGTGCCGTGAGATTGGCGGGGAGCGCCGGCGGGAGGGTGAGGGGGCCGGCGCCACCGGGCTGACATCCATACGGTCCGAGCGGCGCAGCAGACTGCTCTGACGGCCGCGGCTTTGGCCGACGTCTGAGCCGAAAGCCCGAGCTCAAAGCCGAGCCCATGAGCGCGGCCTGCCGTGTCTGAGATGCCGCCATCCTTCAGGGCGTCAGAGTAAACCTTTGGCCGTCTTTTGGAGGAGAAAGGAAGTGAAGGTGAGGCAGAGTGAGGTGTGTAAAATGTGTTCTGGTCCAGTCGGTGCCGTAGCAAAAGGAATGGAAAGGTGGATTTAATGGGCAAGAGCAAGGATTATGTTTCAGTTGCAGTAATATAGCTCATTCGCAGAGACGGTGAGAATTGATGTTTAAAAAAGTCGCTTCATTTTACATGGTGAAAATATACCATAGCTATTTTAGGTTTAAGAACACCACACTTCACGAAAAAAACAATATTATTACCACTAAACGCTGCTGGTGCTGTAACTGCTTATTTCATTCGTGCATATTGAATAGTATATCGTGCCCGCACTGCTAAATACGGTACTTTAAAGAATATTTATTACTGGAAATACAGTCGTTGTGATCAGCTCGTGGCCCGAATCATGTATATCATCAGAGGTCGGTTCGAGAGGCTGAGGCAATAAAGTTGACCCAATCTATCTCAAGATCATGATGTATCGACGGATTTCGGCCACTCTGATTTTCATCTCGTATGTGAAAATTAGATAATTATTCAACATAAAAGAAACTTATTCACATAATGTCGTGAATAAGAGCTTTCATTAATTCACACCTTTAAGTGTTTGCCGCCTACGTACCTGAGTTGCCCGTTCCCCTCCCCAAGGCGGCATACCACCTCCCCAAGGCGGCATACCAGATCCACCCTTGTCTCTCCGCCGTCCTGGAAACACGGACTTAAGAGGCGCTTGGTGCGTGGTAGACCCGTTGACTGATCGGAACCAGGGAGTTGAGGGCGCGATGAGCCGCGGGCCTGTCGCCGCTGGGGGCGGGCCCGCACGCGCCGCCCCTGCCACCGCCGCGATGTCGGCGAGAACGATCACCCGCCGGTCGACGCTGTTTGGTTTGCCGATGTGATCCCCCAAGAGCCATCCGTCTTCAGCTGTTCGCGTGTACCGAACTCGCCTGTTCCGCCCCCCGCCGACGACAAGCACCAACTCCTCCTCCCTGTCTGGGAGCGAAGTCTGATGGACGGGATCGGCGCGCCAGCCCCTCGTGGTGGCACGCCCGAAATGTGCAGCTTCGGTGCTGCTCGACAGATGGCTGTAAGATTAGAGCCGCCGCGTGCGTCGACGTTGTGTGCTCCGGGAGAAAAATGTTCGCTATTCAGTTGGAATACCCTTTTGGTTTCATTGCCTGCTGTTCAGCCACCTCATCCACATTATCTGTTGTTGAATTGAGAATACTCGCGCCATGTGGGTTCTCATCGGATCATATGCACTAATTATGTTCCAATGTACATGCTAATTAAAAGTTTACTAGAGAGGTGGTAAAGTGATGAAAGTTGCGGGTGGCGAGCTACAACGAGTGTGAGACATGATGCACACGGTACACGTCCCAAAAGCCCACTTTTATCTCTCCGAAAAAGCAAGTCACAACTGATTGTCATTGCACAAAGGTGGCGCGTGTGCAAATGACGCCGAATTTCGTCAAGACCGGAGGAATACGTCAGTGATCTGACATGACCTGAAATCATATTTTGGAAAATGTGCACGATGATTGAGTCACAAGTTCAACCGAATATAACGACGTTGTCAGTCAACGTCTTGCAATGGTCTCAGAATGGCCGCTTAAAGGATTGGTCGCTGTCACCACCCCCACAGTGCTGCCCAGTGTAGCTCACAGGCAGAGGCTGTCGATGCCACCATATTGGGACTCAAAGAGACTCTAAGGTTTTCTCTCCTCTGTCAGCTGTCACAGGAAGGTTAACAGGCGTGATCACCGGAGACGCCAGTGCCG